GAAGACGATAACTTTTAAATCCATTGATCATGAACACCTTACATTTTTATTTCCTTGTGTTATGAATATTTGTCTAGGAAAGCCATTGTAGAATACTGAATAAACGTAGAACAAACCAGAACAGTCTCTCGTTCGGTGTCTTTATTAACTAAACCTCGTGTAGTCCCTTACCATAATAATCTACAATAATTAGCATAATTTATGCAGGTCACTACAGCCATATTTACATGTTTAGCACAATGAGCAATATACATTATACAGTCTGATTTCTTCTTGTTTCCTTGTAGTATCAATATTGCCTGAGAAAAGCCATTTCAATGTAGATAACATCAGAGTGATTAAAATATTGGTAAGTTAGGACAACGTACAGTGTAACTGCAATGTTTTTTTTGAAATTATTTTTTGTAATTCCTATACTTTTTTACTCAGAATAATGTCTGTTTCAAATATCAAAATACTTACATCTTATATTCCCCAACAGAAATTGCCAGAGTCTTTCAGCTTTTTCATAGGCGCGGCTTTTTTTGTTTTTCTCAATGACTGTTTGGGGTTGTCATTGTGTTATGAGGTCACCTTTTGAAGGGTGCCACGGAGCACTTTGTTTGAAAGGCTTGCAAAGGAAGACCAATAGAAGGAACTGAAGAAATAAACAAAAACAACAAAATTAGAGGGTTGCCTGTGTACTGTAGATGGGCTTCTTGATGTAAATGAATACAACGAGGTGTTCACAGCAAGAGGGCTGCCCAATACATCAAGAAATATTTATGCATAGTATTCTAGAATGTAGATCCACATAACAATAGATAAATAATACAATACAACTGATCTAAAACAATAGAATGCAAGAACAATGCCATGCATAAATTCAGAGAATTGTCGCAAGTACAGAAAGCAGTGTCTTTATACTGTACATGTATCATGGGGATAGGTCTTTTTTTTTGGTTAATTTTTTCACTAATTTCATAGTTCTTTTATTTTATTTTCATTTTTTCCCCTTTGAAACATGAGATATGCATGCAATAAATTTTATGTAACTCGGCTGTCACATGCGAAAAACATCTAATCTAAAGCTTTATATTTTGTTCTCATAGGGTTCTGGCATCCATAACTCATTAGTAATGCAGGGCATGGTATTCAAGAGACTAGTGGAAGGTGATATCACCAGTGCTAAAAATGCTAAAGTAGTTGTTTATTCATGTCCTTTGGATCTCATGCAGAC